AGTCTCACTCTGTTGCCCAGACTGGAGTGCAGTAGCCGCTTCCGGCCACCGCAGCCTCAACCTGCTGGGCTCTGGCAATCCTTCCACCTCAGCCTTCCGAGTATCCGGAATTACAGGCACGTGCTACCATGCCCAGCTAATTTTTTGATTTTATTGTAGAGATGAGGTCTCGCCTGTCCAGGCGGGTCTTGAACCCGCGGGCTCAGGCAGTCCACTCACCTCAGCCTCCCAAAGGTGCGGGATTACAGGCTGAGCCACTGAGCCCAGCTGCAAATTATATTATTTAAATTAGATTTCTACCTATAATAATCAAACTGAATAAATTGAGTATAGCTCTTAGGGACTGAGCCACAACTTGTCAACAGTATCTAAATGAAAAAAACAAAAACCAGAAAAACATATTCAAACTTACTGTTGAAGTTTCTTTGTTTTGTTTAGAGCTGTTAGCATATTAATAAGGATTTGTGAGTCCTCTTTCCTGTATGCTGGTCTTTTAATAAAGATTGTAATAAAGTAGAGGATTCATTTGCCTCAAAAATAGATGGCTAAACAGAACGAGATGAATTTGTGGATTTGTTTTTCTGAATAAGTTGGTAATCCACTACGGGTTCACAGTCCCTTAACCAAAATCTTTGGGGCCAGCACCTCATAATCAGCACATTAATATTTGTGGTACAAAATAACAACTACTTTCTAAGTAAAAACTATAATTAGCCTCTTTTCAGGCCAGGCCAGGCCAGGCTTTTCTGCTACAGATGTTTAAAGCAAGCTTAATGAAAAGTATTTCGGAGGATTGTGAACCTCTATGATTCTGCCTTGTATTTTGGTGGAGATGAGGGATGTTAGCTGTTGTTTCTAGGACATAGCCCAGTTTCGGATAACTTAGTATTTTGAAAATTTAGCAAGCTGTCTATAATTCTGTTGTGTCTTGCAGTGCTGGCGGTGGTGTACACATCGAGCCCCGGTATAGACAGTTTCCCCAACTGACCAGATCACAAGTGATTACAGCCGAGATCTTCAGTGCAACCATGTGGTTCTGGATTCTCTGGCGCTTTTGGCATGACTCAGATGCTGTGCTGGTAAGTGCGGGAGGATGTTGGGGTTTGGCTAGGGGAGGAAGGACATATTCATAGCTTAGCTTGTTTATTTTTCTGATGAGAACATTTTCTATCTCAATGTATTCCTTTACCACCATGATGTCTATGTGTATATAAGGAATCTTGTTATTTAATGACACATATTATCTAATGACGCTTTTTGTTTTAAAAGATGAGATCTTGCTGTTTTTTAAGAAACTACACCTTTAAGACATTGAAATCTGTGTTTGTTGATCCAGAGTATTTTGAATCTTGGTAAATCTGGGTTTGTTTCCAGGATAGGGAAAAAAGTCTTAAACAGTATGCAAGTTTTAGAAACATCAGGTTTCTTGATATGCCATTTCACTTAGCACTTCCTTGTATGCTTGACCCTCAGTGAGGGGTTGGTTAGGTGTCTGAACTGGCAGCACATTTACTTTTTTTTTTAAGACAGGGTCTCACTCTGTGGCCAGGCTGGGGTGCAGTGGCACAGTCCTGGCTCACCACAGCCTCGACATCCTGGGCTTAAGTGAACCTTCCACCTCAGCCTCTTGAGTACCTGGGACCATAGGTGCCTACCACCCTGCCTGGCTAATATTTAAAAAAATTTTTTTGTAGTGACAAGGTCTTGCTCTATTCCCAGGCTGGTCTTGAACTTCTGGGCTCATGCGACTCTCCCACCTTGGTCTGCCAAAGAGCTGGGATTACAGGCATGAGCCGCTGTGCCCAGCCTACATTTATTGTTTCAAACATGCCTGTTTCACTGTCGGACTGTTTCAGGAGTATATCCAGCTGTTAGGCATGAGGTGGTGATGCAGTCGGAAGAGCCCTCAGATGGATGGAAGATGACGAAGTCTCCCTGAGGTCCCCAGTCTTACAGTGGTGGCAACAGGAGAGTGGGAAACATTTATATTTTGCCATGACTTCAGGACATTGCTGGAATGTAGGGCACCTTTGAAATCTGTCGCCCCTGCTCCCCACAATGTATCACAAACATATTACAACATATCACAAACATATACTGTTGGCTTAGGTTGGTACTTCCAAAAATAGGGAGGCTATTAAAATTCAGGCCACAGCCCATAATGAACAGATTGAAGAACAGCTGGGCCATCACATACTTAAAATAGAATTTGGTCCTGTGGTCCTGGGCTGTGTACATGGCAGACAGCCATATTGTGTTTTGTTCCTTCCAGGATTCCTAATAAAATGTAATGAGCCGCACGGAGTATAGATTCTTGACTCTCTTTTTTGTTGTTGTTTGAGTTGGTGTCTCACTCCATCACCCATACTAGAGTGCAGTGGCATGCTCATGGCCACCCCAGTGTCGACCTGCTGGGCTCCGGCAGTCCTTCCACCTCTGCCTTCCAAGTAGCCGGATCTACAGGCGCGTGCCACCACACCTGGCTAATTTTTTATTTATTGTAGAGACGAGGTCTCACCAAGTTGCCCAGGCTGCTTGACTCTCTTTTTTTAAATGGTTGTCACCAGGGTCACTTCACGTATCCAGACCCTTCCCAGTGGACAGATGAAGAGTTAGGTATCCTTCCTGATGATGAAGACTGAAAGTGCAGACTCAGCTCTTGACAAGTGAGTATGCCCCACATTCCTTGAAGTCATATTAGCCTTTTTTCGAAAACATTTGTTTTGACTTTGTACCTGTGATGTTCTTGAAGAAACACCATGAAGTACAATTAACCATGTCATTTTTATTTACTTTCTACCTTAAGTATCTCTGTATTTATTTTGGTCTCATCTTCTTTTCATGGTATATTTTAAAACATTATTTTTTCTTAGGTTACAAATTTAGGGTCCCATTTATCCATTCACTGATCAAAGATGTATTAAGCCCAGTTCTCTGCTGGGCACAGGAATACAATAGGGAACAAAACAGATATGGAGCTTATGGCTTACAGTAGCTGCAAAACTATAGTGTCCTGCCTTCAGCGTTCACACAGAAAGATCCATTGGTCTGTTTTAGAATTATAATTAAATAGATAGAAAGATCCAGCATAGTGGACTGTTACTATATGGAACTGTATAGAAATTAGCTCTGTAAACAATAAAGGGTTATGGCTTATTTATTTTCTAGGTCAGGAAGTCAAGAGTTTTTCTTCTTTCAAAAAAGAGGTATGACTGGGCGTGGTGACTCACGCCTATAATCCCAGCACTTTGGGAGGCTGAGGTGAGGGGACTGCCTGAGCCCACAGGTTTGTGACCAGCCTGGGCAACTTGGCGAGATCTCGTCTCTACAATAAATCAAAAAATTAGCTGGGCATGGTGGCACATGTCTGTTGTTTCAGCTACTTGGAAGGCTGAGGCAAAAGGATCGCTTGAATCCAGCAGGTCGAGGTTGCTGTGGCTGAGAGTGTGCCACTGCACTCCAGCCTGGGTGACAGAGTGAGACTCCACCTCGGTGAAAAAAAAATCATACTATTGGTATTGCCATTATAATTTTAATTAGAAGTAGCTTATTGACATGAAAATTATAGTAGTTTTGGGGTTTATAGGGAGGAGGGCTAGAATAAAATGTCATGGGGTTGGTTTCTCTCATCCATGCCAGTTCTGGCATGTCTTTCCTTCCTCTCTTTCTCTAATAAAGTCACAGGCTGTTTTATAGCTTATTTTGCCTGTGGCTTTGCTTATGTACAGTCAAAAGTTCTAGTCCTTTCCAGGCCTCACTTCGTGACTCAATTTAGTAAAATTATTAGACTTTAAAGAAAATAAATCCATTGAACATATAAAAAGTAAAAAATGTATGATGTAAGAGAAAGGAAATTAGTGGCAGTAACACTTGACACCAGACGAAAATGGGGTGGATTGTGAGCCAGCACCCTGATCCCTGATGTTACCCTGTATACCAACACTGATCTCTTCCAGTCTTCCCACACATTTCCCAGTACTCCCACATACACGAATTCACATTTTTGTTTTACTGACTAGACTGCAAACCCTGTGAGAGAGAATGTTTTTTTTTCTCTACAAGGCTGTTCACATGATCATGTCAATAAATCAATGCTTGAATAATTGAATACTTAAGAATTATGGATTTGAGCCGGGCTCGGTGGCTCAGCCTGTAATCCTGCGCCTTTGGGAGGCTGAGGTGAGTGGATTGCCTGAGCCCGCGGGTTCGAGACCCGCCTAGGCAGCGAGACCTCATCTCTACAATAAATAAAAAAATCAGCCGGGTGTGGTAGCGCATGCCTGTAATTCCGGGTACTCAGAAGGCTGAGGCGGAAGGATTGCCGGAGCCCAGCAGGTCGAGGCTGCGGTGGCCGGGAGCGGCCACTGCACTCCAGTCTGGGCGACCGAGTGAGACTCCAACTCAAAAAAAAAAAAAAAAAAAAGAATTATGGATTTGAATTAGTGAATATAAAAGTACTTAAAGCTTTCCGCTTTTGTTTTCTTGCAGGAACCAGGTGTTAATTTCAAGAAATTATGGACTTCATATTGTACATTAAAGTTACAAATTAAAGTACTTTGGTTGAGAATGCAGTTATGGACTGCGTCTTTGCCCCAGCTGCTGTGCTGAGTGGTTTACCTGCCCTCAGCCGATCCTCTTGGGTGCTCCATGTTGTAGAATAGCCATTAGACCATTTATCAGTGAGGACATTGAGACTTAAGAGGTAAAGACACTTGCTTAGCATTACCCTCTGGTATGCAGGGAAGACAGGACTCCAAAGCCCCACTCAAACAGTGCTGCCCTGCCTCCTTCGGCTAGTATCTTAGTCATACCTGATAGTACACGTGAAAACTCTTGTCATTTGGCTGCTGCTGGTGGATTCCTGCCCTGAGTATATAGGTCAGTGCAGTCCATTTATTAAGTAACTCCTGTGGGCTGGGCATTGTGTTTTGTGTTGAGTGGCCATTGTGGAATTCTTTTTTGTGAATTGGGGTCTCACTCTGCCGCCCAGGCTGGAGTGCAGTGACATGATCAGGGCTCACTGCAGTCTTGACCTCCTGGGCTCAAGTGATCCTTCCACCCTAGCCTCCAGCGTGGCTGCGACTACAGGTACCATGCCTGGCTAATTTTCTTTGAGGTAAGGTCTTGTTTTGTTGCCTAGGTTGGTCTTGAACTCCTGGGCTCAAGCAATCTCCTTCCTCAGCCTCCCAGAGTGCTGCGATTATAGGCACAAGCCACTGTGCCTGGCTTCTTTGTACTTTATAGGTTTCATTTTTGTTGTCCTCCCCTCATGTGCCCCTCTGTCCTCCACATCGATAAAGGCTTTTTTGGAAAGAATAGTCTATGACAGCATGCTCAAGTAGGGTCATCCCATTAGCTTGTTTTCTTAGAAATCAGAGTTGCTTGACTTGAGTTGAGAGATAATTTTTGTTTAAAGAATATGGAGGTGACAGTGGAATCCTTTTCCACGTGGGAGCCATGAAACCAATTTCAGTCTTCACAAAGGAACATGCCTCCATGCTGCTGTACAGCATATGGGAAATATTTAATGAGAGAGAGTCCCAAAGAGATGTTAAATGTGACATCTGATGGCAGTATATAATTAAAATGGCAAAAAGTTACTATGGGCGGGGCACTGTTGTTAAAATTACATGTGTTAAGTTATAAAATACTCATGTGGTCATATCCACTTTATAGAGGAAGAAGTTGTGGTCAGGTTGTTTGCCAAGCTCATACAGAAGGTGGGAGAGAGAGGTTCAGATCCTGGCTCTCTTGCTCTAGGTAGATCAGATTATCTGAGCACATGATGGTGTAAACTTTTTTGAGTCGGAGTCTCCATTGCCCAGGCTGGAGTGCAGTGGCACACTCAGGGCCACCACAGCCTCGACCTGCTGTGCTTAGGCGATCCTTCTGCCTCAGTCTTCCAAGTAACTGGAACTATAGGCATGCACCACCACGCCTGGCTAATTTTTCTTGATTTATTGTAGAGACAAGGTCTCGCCAAGTTGCCCAACTGGTCTCAAACCCCTGAACTCAGGCAATCCTCTTTTCTCTGCCTCCCAAAGTGTTGGGATTACCGGTGTGAGCCACTGCGTCTGGCAGTGTAAACCTTTTTGATCACAACTTACTGTAATAACTTTTTATTTTTTGAGTTGGTGTCTCACTCTGTCACCCAGGCTTGAGTGCAGTGGCATGCTCATGGCTACTCTAGCCTCAACCTGCTGGGCTCAGGTGATCCTTCTGCCTTAGCCTTCCAAGTAGCTGGAACCACAGGTACACACCACCACACCCGGCTACTTTTTTGATATATTGTAGAGATGAGGTCTCCCAAGTTGTCCAGGCTGGTTTTGAACCCCTGGATTCAGGCAGTCCTCTCACCTCCGCCTCCCAAAGTGAGACATGGCTAGCAAGAATTTTGTATGTGACTGATATATAAGTATGCTTGTGCATATATGTATCAAACCACAAGTTTTTACCTGTTTTGCACACTGATACTTTCTCTTTTGTTGTTCTACATACTTACAAAAAGTATGGCCAGCTGAGACCTCCTGAACTGATTTTACTACCCACTCATGGGTCTCAACCTGCAGTTTGAAAACCTGTTAATAGTGCTTCCAAAACTCAGGCTTTGGAGTCAAACTTGCTGGATCTGACTAGTAGCCACCATCTATGAGTTTGGGCAAATTGCTTACTCAGTTTCCTCAACTGTAAAATGGGTTAAATAGCTGAATTAACATATAGAAGCATGAAGGAAATACTTCGTAAATGGAAGCAATTATTTCTGGATAATTGAGTCTAAGCTAAGTGTACAGTGATCGTGGAATCTGTTTGATTTTTATTAGAAAAGACTCCAAATGGAGAAAGACTGCACTGTTAACAGATATCCCAACAGATGCAGTGCCACTCTCCTGTCAAAAACAAGCCAAAGCAAAACAAGCACATTTAGGATATCTGCCCCTCTCTTCCTCTCTTGCTAGCCATATCTCACTTTGGGAGGCGGAGGTGAGAGGACTGCCTGAATCCAGGGGTTCAAAGCCAGCCTGGACAACTTGGGAGACCTCATCTCTACAATATATCAAAAAAGTAGCCGGGTGTGGTGGTGTGCACCTGTGGTTCCAGCTACTTGGAAGGCTAAGGCAGAAGGATCACCTGAGCCCAGCAGGTTGAGGCTGCGGTGGCTGTGAGCGTGCCACTGCACTTCAGCCTGGGCGACAGTGAGACTTGACTCAAAAAAGTAAGTTTTGGGTCAGGCATGGTGGCTCACACCTGTAATTCCAACATTTTGGGAGGCTGAGGTGAAAGGATTGCTTGAGGCCGAGTTTGAGGCCAGCCTGGGCAACAGTGAGACCTTGTCACTACTGTAAAAAAAAAAAAAGAGAATTAGTTTCTGTAACATTTGTATACAGAATTACATTTTTCAGATAAGAAAACTGTAGGTCAGAGGAAATTTTTAAGTCTTGACAGCATTTTTTATTTTTATCTTTATACTAAATTGAAACTTTATTGAATAAAGAACACGCTCCAGAACACATGATCTGATGGACTAGGTCCACATTACATGCAATGAAGCTGAACATGACAGTTTTACATGGAATATCAAACAAATTAGTATTTTTCATTGTACAAAACTGTTTATGTAGCTGACGTGCAAGAGGAAAACTATGATACTCAGCATTTTCACCAATCATCTGTGATGAGAGCATTTATTTTTTAGAGACAGGGTCCTTGCTATGTTGCTTGGTCTGGCCTCAAGCAATCCTCCTGCCTCAGCCTCCCAAGTACTGGCTCTTAAGTCTTGACAGCATTTTATGGTTAGGGAGGAGCTTGAGGGGTGAAGACCAGAAACCAGACTCTTCAAACATGTGCCCTCTTCAAGACTTTGGTGTTTCTTCATATTATTCTCAGACATAAAATTTCCAGGTGAAATTTTCAAACTGTTTACCTCTTTCCTGCAATGTTGCCCAGTAATTTTATATATTTTAAAGATACTGGTTCTCAAACTTCAAGTCATGAAATCAAATGCATGAAATAAACTCACTGAGGTAACCAGAATAAAAAAAGCGAAGTAGAAAACATAAGTGCATAGTTTCAAATAAATGATAGTGTGCATATTCTGTGCTGTCTCGGGAAAATGTATTATTGTGTCAAAAGTTTGAAAAAATACAGTTCTAAGGTGAATTTCTGAAGATCACCTCCTTTTAAAATTACTAAATTAGAGCACACTTCAATTGAGCCCCATGGAGTAGTCATTAGGAACCAGACACAGCTCACAACAAGGTAAGACAGCTGAGGTAAGACAGTTTGTCGTCACCAACGCCTGACAAAAGGCTGCCGCCACCAGGAGTGGTACGACATGTATAATGTTCCAGGCATGACTCTTGACAACTTGAACTTCTACCCACCAAGCAGAAATCAACCTGATGGAGAAACAAAAGGCACATTTCTCAGTCCCTTCGTTGCCAAAGCTGCTGACTCCTGGAATGGAGTGGACAAGTGCTGGAAAAACCACCTCGCCGGAAACTTCTCCATGCAATCTTTATTATAGCAGTGTTCGCATATTCACATCAAGTACATAGAACTTTTTGCCTTTTATATAATACAGAGTTTTTAAATAACTTTACACAGAAATAAATTTCTTCAATCAGAATTTCAGCTATCTTTTTATTTAACTCTCCATGCTTTCTATCCAAACTGAACAATATTTTCCATTATACAAATTTACATGAGAAAAACTCCAAAGTACAAATGAAGGGACCTGAGCAGGAAAGAGAACCAAAGTAACAGGAAGTGGGTACGGGTGAGAATTTAAAAAAAAGAGATTCAAGCAAACATTGAGGATTATGGGACAAGAGGGAGACATCATCCATTTGACTGAAAATAAGTGTCTTTTTTTATGAATTGAAAAATAAGCTTTAAAAATAGTTACTCCGTTGTAATTTTTGCAAAGCAGGTATGGAGAGGTCTGTGGACATTTAAAAAGTCCCCATCTTTCACTGGGCACACCCAGATTCCACAAGAACCTTCTGGAATGCTTGAGTGGAACTGAAGTGAACTGGACCCGACCCTTTGGTGTGAGAGGAGAGGAATGCCTGTGAGCTGCCAGGGGCTTGGAGTGGTGGGATGGGAGCCAACATTCACTGCAGTTCAGATGCGAAGTGGTTCCCTTTCCTCTCCTTCAGGGGAGACTCATTCTCAACTCAAAGAAGATGAGAAAAGGGGCGGTTCCATTTTCTCGGTCTTAAACCAAAGAGCAATCACAACTACTGACTAGAATTCCAAGAGGCAGAGGTGGATGGGTGATACGATTCAACCCCCGATCAGCTGTAGAATCCTGTCTTAGGAGAAGCAGCAACTGCTGTGCAGGAAAGGGGCAGATGTACAACCGATGTGAGGTCAGCATACAGGTACACCACGGGGACACAGTCCTTCAAGCCAGGCAACATCATGAAGGCCACACCAAGACACACCATGTGGCATGGCCAGAGGAAACACGGGACCCATGAGCATGTTTTCAAATGAAAGAGGGAAAGGGGTACAGCACAACCCCTCATATGTAAACTAATATAACATGAAACGAAATCAGACACGTTAG